TTGCTTCACTGATTTTCTTATTTTTTTCATATCCAACAAAAGGAAAAATTTCATCAGAAATATAATTAATAAAGTCTGGAATCTTAAGGTTGAATTTTTGAACATGAAGGTATTGATTAATCTTTATAATTATGTCTTCATCATTTAAAATACTAACTACTTTCTGATGTTTTCCACGCCTAGAGCCCCATCTGATAAATACTGGTTTGCCCAAGATCTGATTAATCTGGCCATCCAAGGGCCATGATTTATTGATTCAGAAATAAGCAGACTTGCAGAAAGCTTTGAATGTCCATTTTTTGTAAGACGAAGATATTGTGCAACATATTGCAATCTAATATCATTTATCTTCTTTTGTTGCAAGTCTAACTCAAGATTTTCTAGAGAAAAATTAGATATATTTTCTTCAAGTTCATCTTCACTGTCATTTGAATATAAATGGTTTTGTTGTAATTCATTTTGATTAGAATCTTTAATGTTACCAGAAGATGCCTGATAAATAAATATTGATTTTTTTATTTTGAATATTTTGATAATTATTTTATTTTTTCATTTTTTTTTACCTGAAAAAAAGTTGTTATTTTAGATGTTCCTTTAGCAGCATTTTTTAATATTCTTTGTTTTTGTCTAATAGTCTCTTCTGCTGCACCAGTATATATCAGAGGTCTACCTTTAGATTCCAAAGTATCACTTTTGTTGCTAATTCTAATTAATTTTGAAAATGCAGATTCTAATTCTGTAGTTAAAGATAAATCTCTCCAATCATCATCAGATTCAATGTTTTCATATATTAACTCTTCAATTTCTAATCTAGATTCATTTTCAAATACCTCCTTATCAATATATTCATCTGTAATAGGCTCAATAATTTTCAATTTTTTGGTTTCACGTGCTTTTTGTAAATGTTGATTTCTTTTACTCTGTTTAGGCATTTTTAACAAAAAAATAAGTATATGGTAAAGAAATAAATTAATAAATTTGAATTAAAAAAAATCGCGTTAAAAAATCGCGGTTCCATAAAAGGAATGATTCTCATGAAAAAATTTCACCAAATGGCGCAGCATTTGATGTTTATAGATGATTGGCACCATACTCTTTTTAAAATAAAATAAAAATTATCGTGGTCGTGTAATTTTCTTGACTCACGTTGGTCACGTGAGGTAATGTCGGACTCTCAAAACTTCTGAAAATTATAATTGTTTATTATCGCCACAAAAACATATTAATGATCGGCAAATTTTTGCAGTTGTTTCACGGATTACGAATTAATTTTTTTTTAATAATGTATATATTACAAGCATAGTGGAATTTCGTAATTATCACGAATGTGACTTAAAATGTCGATCTTTTTTATATTGTGTAATGGTAATTTT